TTCGCGCAAGAGGGGGAGGGGGGGGGGAGACTGAATTTAGACAAGGATTAAGAGTCGAGAACGGTACAACGAATCGTCTTCTTCCTCTAATGATTTAATGAATCGTAAAAGCTTCCACGCTTCACGAGGAAGGGGGAAAACTGAATTCAGACGAGGACTAAGAGTCGAGAACTCGACAACGAATCGTCTTCTTTCTCTAATAGTTTAATAAATTGTAAATTTTTTCCGCGCTCCGCGCGGGAGGGGAAAAATTAAATTCAGACGAGAATTATTTTCGAGAATGGTACAACGAATCGTCTTCTTTCTCTAATAATTTAATAAAACGTCAAAGATTCCGCGTTTCGCGGAGGAGGGGGGGGGGGGGGGGGGGAAATCGCCCCTCCCTGCACCGACCCCCCCCCCCGCATTACGTCACTGTTGGTCACTATTACGTACCAATATTTGGCTCGCATAATTTCAAATTTGGGCCCCCCCCCTAAGAAATCCTGGATCCGCGCCTGTGCATGTTCCCCTCCTTTTGAAAACACGTACCCCCTTAAGTCCGGTGTGTAAAGTCAATACGGTCCGGATTTTTGTGTACTACGAGCCGGACTTAGGTGCTTGAAAAGTACCCCTTTACCGGGTATTTTGGGAACACGCTTGGTATCCATCCGTTCTTGGAGTGAGGGGCCGGCACAGAATATTATTTATTTATTTTTAGTTGATTAAAAAAAAATTAAAAAAATGTTCCTCTGTCATACCGAAAAGGAGTTAATATTTTCTATTTTGCTATCTCGAAGATACCATTGATCGCGCGCGCTCTGAAAATTGTTTAAAAATCACACATGTGATATGTAGGCTGCAGACGACAGCTATGCGCCGAAATATGCAATGGTGACGATATCATTCAATTCATTACAAATTGAAATAGGGGCCTAGGTCTAGTTGTCTATTCCGACGGTGATTCAAGGGTAAGATTACCGTAAAAAGGACTTTGTTTTACACAATTTGTTATTTGCATGAAAACTTATGACAGCGGGCTCATCGGCTTTCCTGCGTTATCACCCTGGAAAAAACACTCCATTGGCATTGCCTCGCTTGTCGTGACGCGTGGCGCCTCTCGCCGAACGCTCTGAGTTCTGCGCCCAGAGTCTCGGGCCTCTTGTCCTGCGCATTCCAGTATGACAGCCAGCGCAAGCAGCCCAGCTCTCTATCAATGCATGGCTAGATCTAGAATTTATGCATCCCAGGGCTCAGGCTCAGGTCAATACGTATAAGCATGCATAGTCTATGCTATGCTGGAGTGTAAAATACTAGAATCTAACATACATTTTTTAAAACTTAGGTCTAGGATCTGATGTTAAAAAGAATAATTTAAAAATTCAAATTGTAAGTCTAACTGTTGGTGTTAGAGTCTAGTGTCAAACTTTGCTTACAGCTGCATCGACATGGATGTGTGCAGTCTAGATCTATGCAATATTGTGAGGTGTGTGTATGGGTCTAATAATTACCTGCCTCACAGCAAGCATGCAGTGCTAGAGCCTAGAGGTCAATACGCATTAGCCATGTTAGCGTACGGTTGACTCTATGCTTTGCTGGAGTGGCTCAGGTCAGGAGCGTCTCCAAAGGTGGAGGCCGGGGGAGGGGGGGGGGGGGGGATATTGTCGGTAATGGCCCGGTCCCACTGGCCGATGGACACAAAATGTATGCATAAACATATGCTGCCACCATTAACCAATTCAAGTCATCCCTAGAAAGGTATTGGAGAAACAATCCAATTAAGTTTGAACCATACTTGAGACGGGATGCAACAGTAAAGAGGGACAAATAAGCTTTAGCTTCCAGTCTCTACACCCAAGTATACCCAAGTAAGACACAGCGGACGAACAAAATTTCGTGGGTGGCTTCATCCGTTTTCACCCGCTCCAGAAATGGACAAAATTTGCGAAAACAGAACGGAAAATAACGGACGTGTAGTATGTAGCGGGGATGTTAAACGGATGTTCATCGGAAGCCTAGCGGATGAAAGCGGATGGAAGTGGATGACAGCTTTGAATACTTTATATACGAGATGCATACGCTTACATCCTTTCTATTTCAAAGGTCACAGGGCTCATTATGTGTGCAAAAACAGCTCGTGATCGCATTACCTGAAGAACCGATTTATGGATTCCTGCCAAACTTAGGTCATGTATGTTACTTGCAGAGCCGATAAACTGATTAGATCTTGGGGTCATGAGGTCAAGGTCAAAGTCATGCAGCTCATTATGTATGCAAAAACAGCTTTTGATCGCATTATCATTGGAACAGATTGATGAATTCCTTCCAAAGTTGGATCATGTATGTATCTTGCAGAGCCAATGAACTGAGTAGATTTTAGGGTCATGAGGTCAAAGATCAAAGGGTCATATATGTATATGAGAAATTGCTTGTAATCACGATATTCTGAGAACCTGTTAATGGATTACAATTGAACTTGAATTTGAAAAATTTCTTCTGTTTTTTTTTGTAAAATTGCTCTATGAAGGAGGCATCATCTCGACTGCACGCAGTCGAAGTTCCATCTAGTTAACAATATTTTTATATTATTACAACCATCGATATCAGAAACTAAAGCTTTTGGTCAATTCTATTACGTCTATGATCAGATCAACAAAAGTGGAATGTACAGGTCCACCGTCTGACAAAAACCGATTTAAATCGGTTTCCCGATTTTTTTTTTTTTTTTCCCTGATTTTTTCCTGAATTTTTTTTTTTACTTCCCGATTTTTTTTTCCCGATCTTACAGAGCCGATGAACTGATTAGATTTTGGGGTCACGAGGTCAAAGGTCACAGGGCTCATTATGTATGCAAAAACAGCTCGTGATCACGTTATCTGAAGAACCGATTGATGGATTCCTGCCAAACTTTGGTCATGTATGTATCTTACAGAGCCGATGAACTGATTAGATTTTGGGGTCACGAGGTCAAAGGTCAAAGGTTACAGGGCTTATTATGTATCTAAAAACAGCTCGTGATCACGTTATCTGAAGAACCGATTGATGGATTCCTGCCAAACTTTGGTCATGTATGTATCTTACAGAGTCGATGAACTGATTAGATTTTGGGGTCACGAGGTCAATGGTCACAGGGCTCATTATGTATGCAAAAACAGCTTATGATCGCGTTATCTGAAGAACCGATAGATGGATTCCTGCCAAACTTAGGTCATGTTTGTTACTTGCAGAGCCGATGAACTGAGTAGATTTTGGGGTCATCAGGGCAAGGTCAAAGGTCATGCGGCTTATTATGTATTCAAAAATAGCTTGTGATCGCATTATCATTAGAACAGATTAATGGATTCCTGCCAAACTTAGTTTATGTATGTATCTTGCAGAGCCAATGAACTGAGTAGATTCTTGGATCATGAGGTCATAGGTCAAAGGTCATGGGCTCATAATGTATGCAAAAATAGCTTGTGAACGCATTCTCATTAGAACTGACAGAGGGATTACTATTTAACTCGGGACATCTTGCAGAGCCAATGAACTGAGTAGATTTTAGGGTCATGAGGTCAAAGATCAAAGGGTCATATATGTATATGAGAAATTGCTTGTAATCACGATATTCTGAGAACCTGTTAATGGATTACAATTGAACTTGAAATTGACAAATTTATTCTGTTTTGGTTTGTTAAATTGCTCTATGACGGAGGCATCATTTCGACTGCGCGCAGTTGAAGTTCCATCTAGTTTTTAATTTATTTTTTATACCAATTTTTTTTTCTTCCCTATTTTATCCTGATTTTCTCTATTCTTCCCTATTTTGCCCTATTTTTTCCCTAATTTTGTCCCAATTATCTTACTCGAAAGGGGGAAATGTTGTTAGATGCCATTTTTTCCCCGCGAATCCTCTTTTATTTTTTTTTTACTCAAGGGGGGCGTGGTTGAGGGGAAAACTAAAACCCTATTTTTTTTTTTAAAGCTCATTATATACCTCACTTAAGAAATCCAGCCATCTGATTGGTCGAATTGCATTCATAAACTTCAACTGTTCCTGTAAAATTCTCGGTAACCATGCTTAAAACATTTCAATATTTTTAATAACCATGGTTATTAAAAATAGTTGGTCAGCCTCCATGGTTACCCCATAGGTTTACATGTTAAAAAATGGTTTGAGCGATGGAGGATGCCGTATGTGTGCGAAGGATTGGTCGGTAATTTCAATACAATTGAATCTCGATCGATCTTACCGACAATTTTATCTTGCATTGTTGACATGAAGACTAAAATAAACTTCCAAAAACAAAAAAAACAACATCTGCCGATAGATCTTGATCTAAGTTCGTGCCAATATGCATTGCAAAAGTAAAAGAAGAGTCCGTATATGGAGCTTTTGCGAAGCATTCATCACACGCGAAGCCGGTTTCAATCCATTTTAATGTATATATCGGAGAAAACTGCCAAGCATGTTAACGGCGGGCCATAGCCGAGTGGTCTAAGCGTTGGTTTTCGATACACCTCTTGTTGTACGCAAGAGTTCGAATCCCGTCTTCGACAAAAATGATAAATATTTTTGATTTTTCATTTTTTAGTCTATTTTTTTTTGGCATATAAAAGTATTAATGACTGCTTTAATATTCGAGAAATAGTTGTTTTCATACGCTCTCTGGAAGGTTACAATTGGGCTATTCCCCTCGGCAAGCCTCGGGGAATAGCACAATTCTAACCTTCCCTTGAGCGTAATAAAACAACTATTTCTCTCAAAGCAGTCATTAATACTATACTATCACCCTGAATCTAAGGAAGAAAATGGCTCTCAGCAACAATATACATTGTAAAATGAATATGTTTTTTTCTCAAACATATACTGGTGGATGAGAAATTAATCAGTGGCAACGTAAAATATTCCTTGTGTACGGAGATCTATTGGAGGACTAGGTTCATTTATAAGTGGACATGCTCATTACAATTGCAGTGTTTTCCATGTTTTTAGTTCACCAGTCTTTTGCATGATTTGTGTGAAAAGGTGTATTAAAATGTGCACTTTAATGAGCTTTTAACTTTCTCTTTTTGTTTTTGTTCAGCAGGACTGCAAAATTTGTGGAACACTTGATCAGCAGTACTCCTTCTCAGCACACTCTTCCTGTTCAAGATGATTGGTGTTGGAAAAGGATGTAGGAAGTCTGTGGTTCATTTGTGCAGTTACTGCAGATTGATCCATGGCAGACCTCTCTATCCTTCGGCAAGGTTTAGGAAAACACTACCATGGCAACCTGAATCCACAACTTCATCATCACCATTCTCAACATCTGACCAGAAACATTTATCCAAAGATGACAGCAGCGTTGGCAAACCAGAGGAATCACATTCGTCATCATCAGCATCGATAGACTCAACATCAGATACTTCTCCTCAGTTAAGAATGAATGCAATTAACATTCAGATGCTCTCAAAGAATCTTCATCAACGGATATTCAAAAGGAAAGCTTCGAGCAGGTCAAAGGTCAAACAGGCTACAGAAACTAAAAATGATGAACTCCTAGAGAAAACCAAGCAACATCTTGAGAATCACAGACTATGGGGCAAAGAAGGTTCTATTTTACCTGATGTTGATTTCAAACTGCCAAGACTCTTTGGGAATAGCATCGATGAACATTTCCAGATTCTTGCCAATAAACAGAGTGCTTCATATCTTGACATGGCTCATGAACTGGCAGAAACCCTCCCTCCTCCTATGCCTGAAGACTGGGTTTTCAAAGAGGGATGGATGAAGTAAGATACTCTCATTTAAAGATTTATACTTAAAACAGGGACCAGGGACATGTTTGATTTCTCTCATCTGGTGCACCCATCTTAACATGTGAGACAACAATATATAGACTTTGCCATTGTGTCGTTGATCTATATAGTTCCTTTAATTTAAACACTTTCAGCAGATGGAATGTTTCAAAATGAGCTATTGTGGATATTGGTTATTGATGCAGTCATGTTTTTAATCTCCATTACTGTTAAAGAATAAATGCTTTTAGATTTACAACTTGTACATCATGTTATTACACTTGTGAAAGAAAAATATGAACTGTTTTCTCCCTCTTTTGTCTTGAATAGGTATGTTGAAAACGAGAGCCCTGTTCCTGTTGATTTTCCTGAAGACCAAAGTCTTGTGTTTGACATGGAGTGCTGCATGGCTGAAGGGAATTTCCCTACTTTGGCTGTAGCAGTTTCAACAAATGCATGGTAAAGACGGAAAAAGTGAACAATGAATGAATGAATTGCTATAGTTTAAAGGCAATATGGTCTGCTTACATTTTAGGAATTGTTTGAAAATACAATATATCTTGTTTGAACACTCGTACTAAATCAACAAATATTAACGATTAATGGTATGATATATTGCATTAATTAACCTCTGCCAACATTAACCCATGGTTAGTTTTGTTCCCACCAAAGTTTACCGACCCATATGTTGATATTATGTTTAAACTACCTTGCTTTGTTCCAGGTATTCATGGTGTAGTCATCGACTGATTGAAGATCATCTTACACTGTCTCAGAAGCTGGCACTGCCAGACCTCATTCCTTTAGAGACTAAGAAAGGCTCTACCAAACCACCCAACAAGAAATGGACAGAGAGACTGATCGTTGGACATAATGTCAGCTTTGACCGGAGCTTTGTCAAAGAACAGTACCTGTTGCAGGTTAGAAACATGTCATGCTCTTTTAAGCAGCTCTCTCTTTCTCTCTCTCTCTCTCTCTCTCTCTTTCTCTCTTTCTCTCTCTCTCTCTCTCTCTCTCTTTCTCTCTCCCTCTCTCCCCCTCCCCCTCTCCCTCTCTCCCCCTCTCCCCTCCCCCTCTCCCTCTCTCTCTCTCCCCCTCCCCCCTCCCTCTCTCTCCCCCTCCACCCTCTATCTGTCCCTCTTTCTGTTCCTTGCCAATACTCACTATGTTTCTCTGCACTGTAGCCAGAAGCATCACTTTTTAATTAGTCTGTCCATCCATCCTGCTATTTGTCATCGTGGCAACTTCTGACTGAAATATACTTTTGCAAAATCTTGCTCAAATAGCCTATGTGCAATCATGGAATATTGAACGGATTAGAATTGAGGATCAAAGGGTTAAAAAAAAAATTGAAAAAAAATCATTTGAAAGGTAGAAAAGACTTATTTAGTCATGATACAGGGTATACACATGTATTCTACTCTTTGCTCATTTGTATTGATGTTGCTTCACTCTAAAGGAGAGAACACAATGCACAATAACTCTTTATGATTTGCATGTGATGACAGGGTACAAAGACTCGTTTCCTAGACACCTTGAGCCTTCACATGTGTGTCTCGGGGCAGACCACCCTCCAGAGGGCGCTTTGGCAGGTCAATGCACGAGGAGGGGGTGCCACTGCTGCACCCTGGATCCAGAAAAAGCATAACAAGAAATCCTTTGGTGCTCCTGTAAGTACAGCTCAATTCATTTCAATTCAATTTCGGTTTTAGTCAGAAGAAAAAAAAATAACATGACAAAAGTCTGGAGACTAATATTGTCATATTTACAGTAAAATAAAATAAAACATGAAATTAGGTTATAAAATGTACATTGACATTCAGACTTCGACATAACTAAAAAGAAGAACGTGACTTCATGCATTCAAAATGTTAAACAGCAAATATTTTATTGAATTTAATTGGAAAAATTCATTTCTCCCTTGTCAGTGGACATGTCAATCCTCAAATCAAACTGTACGTTATGTACTTATTGAAGCATGAAACACATTGTTTTTTTTAATAAATCCTGAATGGTAGAATACTAATGTTTTCTGTATTTTTCTTCTTTTCTTTCAAATGCGGTTTACTTTTATGTGAAGAAGTTTGAGGAAACCATACTTAAGGATATTAAGTTTATAGCTGTAGTTGTTTTAATGGAATTGTTATGTTTAGTATTACTCATTGATAAAGATCAATTGTAATCATTTAGATAATTAAAATAATTTTTTTTTCTTCAATACTTTGTAACATAAGAATTGCAAATACCCATTTATATTTATTTCAAGGAATGTAGTAATCAGAGACGGTGAATTTGACAGACACCCATATTTGTTGATATACAGGCTACTGCATGGTTAGCAGAGAGTAGTCCCAACAATCTGGCTGATGTGTACAGCCTGTATAGTGATGATGGCAGCACACTTGATAAGACCAAGAGAGATACCTTTGTGCATGGGAGTATGGCTGATATCAGAGCTGACTTTCAGGTGATTATACTAGGCCTTGTATTATATCTCTGAGCTTGAACTGGTTTAAGATCCTTTATACTCATGTGATTTCTAATCGATTGGTGTCTTTCAGAAGGCATGTGTTGAATATCAGTAGATTGCACAACATTTTAACCATTATTTGTACAGTGATTGGCCTGTTTTCATTGAGAAAAATTTTCAATGTATGCACAAAATGTGCATTTAGCTAGCTAAACGTTATTCATAACGAATGAACCATTTTCTGCCAAAACATGGAGCTACAATATCTTTATTTAAAAACATTGTTATATCTGTATAAGTATTATTGTAGGTGAGATACAGAGGGTAGGGTATTTATATAATGCATGCTCCAGCAACAAGTATTCTGTGCTCAACTCCTACATGAATGAATTCCTGACTTCAACCCAAGACCAAACATGATACCCATAACTTAATCCAGATCCTTAACCCTTACTTGTAATTTAAACCTGGACAAAATACAGCACCAGGCAAATGTCGCTGAAGCCAATGTCAGATCAATGATATCAACAATAACCCCCTTCCCTCGGAGAAACAAATTTTTCAAAGCTCAGACTGAATAAGATATACATTGTAGATATTCTCAGAACTTTTACAGGTACAGATATAATACTACTACTAAGAATATGTCTTTTTTTACCCAGGGTGCCTCATCAGTATTGATTTTGTTTTCCCTTGAGGCCCTGCAATCATATTATAATGTATCATGACACTGGCTTTAATTGAAAGCTGCAAATGTAAATGACTTTAAAAAAAATTTACTTAATGTTTATTTGTCTTTGATCTTAGTCTCTAATGACATACTGTGCTCAAGATGTAGCTGCAACACATAAGGTCATCAGTAAGCTTCTTCCTATGTTCAGTGACAGGTAACTAATGTATGCCACCATGTACAGGATTTTACAGCTATGAGTCACTAAGATTTGTTTCATGTTGGTTTGAATGTGAGCTTGATCTAAACAGTTCGACGATCCTCTGTTTTCTTTTTGTTTTTTGTTTGTTGTTGTTGATTTTATGTGTGTGTAAAGATTTAAATGATTCAATGCAATCTACTTCTACTGTAATTCAGCATTTTGTTTTTACAGATTTTGAATCAGCAATGATTGTTGTAGTTTGCAGATATGCTAAAACTGTGCTCTTGATTTTCATGTGAATTGAGTTCAAAAAACAAAAATCTGAATACCTGTCTTAGTAGACAGGTATTCAGATTTTTGTTTTTTGTAAGATTTAGTAAGATTTATGAAATTGATAAACCCTCATGATGTCTAGCATACAGGCCTGATAAAAACCTGATTTAAATTGTTTTCCTGATTTTTTTTCTACTTCCCAATTAAAAAAAAAAAAAAAAATCATTAAAAAAAAAAAAAAAAATGTTTAACCAGATTTTTACTTCTTCTTCCTTCTTGTATCCTGATTTTACTGATTTCCCTGTTTTTTTTCTCTAATCTTCCTTATTTTGCCCTATTTTTTCCCAATTTTCCTACTCGAAAGGGGGGAATGTTGTTAGATGCCATTTTTTTCCCCGTGATTCCTCTTCTCTTTTTTTTTACTAAAGGGGGGCGGGGGTTGAGGGGGAAAAAAACCCCCCCTTTTTTTTTTTTAGTGCTCACTATCACCCCTGAGCATATAACAATGTCATGATATTTGATAATATCACTGTTTTCCTTCTCATGTATATAGCCAGTCACCTCTGAAAATAAGAGAAAAATGATAGTATCGATAGTATCTTTGTAGCTAATGCTTGAAATAAGATGGATATATCATTTGCGTCTGTGTCAGAGTGCAATCCACTGTCCCATTAATGTCCTTTCGTGTAATGACACATTCTGCAGGTTCCCCCACCCTGTGACCTTTGCAGCCATGCTAGAGATGGGACAGGCTTACCTGCCGATCAACCAGAACTGGGAGCGATACTTGAGAGACGCTCAGGAGACCTATGACAACCTGCAGCAGGAGATGAAACAATCTTTGATGCACATTGCCAATGATGCTTGTAACATGCTCCACCAAGACAAGTAAGTACAGTATTGCTTGAAATAAAGTAGACACTCTCACACTGTAGTCCCTTATTTGCATTGTCAATCGGCGTGTATTAAAGATACTGTTACTTTCTGGGTTTTTCTATTATTTTTTCAGGTGTGTACTTCTGTATAAACATCAAATTTGACTATCAGCGTGTTTCTACAGAAAAAAGTGGAACACGGATTATCTTTTCCGGATTGAAATACCGTGTCGCGGTGACACGGTATTAAACCAATCTGTTTCCACAGAGCACAGCATTCCGATTCGCCCCGATTCCGTGTTCCAAGTCAGGCAAATGCCATGTCAATCGGAAGTCAAGATTCAACCTTTGACCTCGATCTTGGATTCAGATCTACACAGGATTCCACGCTATTCTATTGTGACGTACATTTGTCATTGTTACGTACAGCGCGTATATAAACATATTATTGTATACGCATATTTCTGAGTATTTTTCAACCAATCATGCTGCAGTGGTGATTTGGGCTTGGCGCGCTCTGATGCTCCGCCAGACACGGTTTGTCGCTGTGTGTTTCCACAGCGATTTCACAGGGAGTTCGTTGGGATCGACACGGCAAGATCCACCTCCCAGAGGTGGATCTGATAATCCGCATCTCGGTCGACTCGACCCGACACGCTTGTGTTTCCACAGGAAAACTGACTCGGTATGACACGGATAATACCGTGTCGATGTTTTCTGTGGAAACACGCTGTATAACACGAACACTTACAAAATTCGCACTGCGAATGAAAAGGTCAACACACATATTTGCACTTATGTCTTCAGGAAGACACTGAAGGCATTCTTCTTCATTTCCTACTCTGCATCCGGGATAGAATGGAACACTTTTGGGATCACCTAGGGTCATTGTGATTTTCAGTAATCTTTTGCATATAATCGTACACAATACTTAAGGCTGTGCACAACAGTGTAATGAGGTACCCGAGTACACTCCCAGGCTTACAAGCGAATACTTGAATATTCAGACGCCATGTTTTTTTATAATTTTTTTTAATTAAAAAAAAAAAAAAAATTTTTTTGCCACTACCATACCACTGGAACAGTATCCCAGGTCTGTCGCCGAAAAACGCATGCAATTTTACCTCGAGTTGCAGTTGAAGGCGCCGATTTTAATAATAATAATAACAGTAAACAATGCTGTTTTAAAAACCAAAGATGGCAGAATAATCCATTTTCCTCCGAGTCCAAACAGAAATCCGGACATTTGGTCCCAGTTTCTGAGTGGTGAGTTTGACAGTGCTTGAGTTGGGAAACATTTTTACTGACGGTACCATGCCAGCGGCGGCCGCTCTCCCTGGCACGGCTAAGCGTTGGCCTGGACAGTGCCAGGTGACCGGGATTTTTTTTTTTTTTTTTTTTTTTGCGCCGAATATTCGAGTACGAGAAATCGTACTCGAGTAGTTGTCAACCGTGCAGGTACTCGAGCATTCGACTACTCCTCGCAGCCCTATGTTGTAAACATGCTTGAAAACTAATGACAATATCATTTGATAACTGTGAAGTGCCAAAGATGCAAGTATGAAGAGCTTTACGTACATATGTAACTTTTTGAATTTTTATGATGCAGGTATCGTGAGGACCCGTGGCTATGGGAATTAGACTGGTCTGTGGATGACTACAGACTCCGGAAGACTATCCCTCTTTCCGAGAGAGCAAAGAAAAAGAAAAAGGATGAGGAATGTTCAAAGGAAAAAATCGAGCGTGAAGAGGAAGAAAATGAAGAAGAAAAGGAAGAAACTTGTGTTGAAGATGTGCTTAGCACAGCAGGAAGAATCCCTAAAGTGAACCAGCATATGACAGGATACCCTGTGTAAGTTGGAAGAGCTTTAACAAATATTTTAAAGAAATTTTCTTATTCAGAAGAATAGACATGTTTACCCTTCTTTATTCTTTTTTGACCCCGATAGAAACAACAAACTTTTGATATGCTAAGAAGGTACCGGTAGTCATTTGGAAGATACAAGTTAACGTTGTGTAACTTTTATAAACTCTTGATCAAGATCATATTGCTCACTGGTCCAATCAACAGACATTTTATGTGGTTGATGTCTGTTTTAAATACTGGATTTTTTTTTAAAGTTTTTTTTTTAGCAACCTATTATAGGTATCCTCAAACATTAGTATGTGATGTTTTGGCTTTAAAAACGATGATATTATAATAATGAGGAATCCCTGTGAATGGGGATAACGAGATGCCATCTTTCTAGCTCCGAGAACAAAGTTCCTTTGAAATATCTTAATGAGTCTAAAGTAGTCTGATTAATAATTCTTAGGTGGATGAGCTTAATATAATTACTGCTTGAGCAAGTGGCATTTATCTTCTGTGGTCCTGTCAATGTGCAGAGTAAGCTGAAGATAAAGAGAAAATGAATAAATATGTGCCCTTTATTTTAGATATAAGGAAATGACTGCTTGTTTAAGGGAAGATTTAGTCTGGTAATTTGCTTCACTTAACACAGAAATATCAAAGAATCTGAACAAATTTTTTGTTGTTGAAGATATATCTCTGCTTCAGTGTGAAGAAACAGTCCCATGTCAGAGTTGCCTCTTTGATTATTTGAATGTAATATACCAGGGATCAGTTTCACAAAAGCTTTTTTCAATGACAAATGACAGAAAGCAGTGACAAATCTGCTGATAACCAATCAGAAGCAAGGATATCACTAGCTTATACAGAAAATGTCATTTCTCACTGATGACAAGTTTTGTGAAATGAGGCCCTGTCCTTCATGTTCTCATGTTTATTTTCTTCTCATTGCTGTCTTTGATTGCAGTTGGTTTCGAGAGCTGTGCCCCAAGAAGTCCCACGTGGATTGGTCCCCCGGGCCTTCTTTAATCAGCTCCCAGACCAGGATCACACCCAAACTCCTGCGTCTAACTTGGGATGGCTACCCATTACACTACACCACTAAGCATGGATGGGGCTACCTTGTACCAGGCAAACCTGATAGTAGATATCAACAGAGGACTGAGCCTGGTCCCTCCTTCCCTTTGAAGTGAGTTTGATAGAAGTATTCTGTGTGTACATTGAGAAAAGGACATTTTCCATGTTGTTTATTGATTGATTGGATCAATCGTTTGTTTGATGGATTGATATATTAATGGATTCTTTCTTTCTTTCTATGTTTTTTCATTGTTAAAGTGAGCTTGATATAAATATTCTCTTTGTGCATGTGAGAAAGGGACACTTCTCCATCTTGGATTGAGGTTGAGTGAGTGAACCTGAATTCAACAGTAATATATCTTTGAAGGAATGTTAGTTCAGGGTCATTTGAAGCATCAAATTTCAGTGATTAACATCAAATGTAACATAGAATCATCATCATCATCATCATCCTCCCTCTTCCTGTTTGACTTTAAGGAGCCTTCAAGACATGATGTCTTCTAGACAAGAAAAGCAATCATCTACTCAGTCTGCTGATGTTCCGAGTGATAGCAGGACCAATGAAAGCTCAGCCAAGGGAATCTCTACAAAGGTACATGTAGATAATGACTTCAATTTATTTTTAATATACACCACAACTAGTGTATATATTATGATTAGTAATGTTGTGTACATATTTTATGTAATCTAATCAGAAAACAAAGAAAGCATAAGGGCACAGAGGGATATTTAGTTCCAGAAGCACACCAAAAATATTTGGGTAATCTTACTCAAATATGGAAATAAACTTTGACACAATAGTGACACACTTAACTGAATGCATTAACTCATTAAATTGAGATTGATAACGCACAGGAATGAGTTTTGTTAATTTGACATTATAGTGACATGGCAAATGAGTATTTTAAGTTAGTGAGCTATTTAACCTATTAAATGATGTGAGTAAATCGCTTCATCTCAACTAGTGAGTAATTCTTCAATCATTCAGTCAGGTTATTAGGCTCATCACATGTGATTATATATGGCAAATGAATAATCTAAATTAGTGAGTTATTTAACCAAATGTTGTGAGTAAATCGCGATTTGACATACAAATAATGATAAGATATTTCCCTGCATGCTACCATATAGAGGTGTGAGCTAAAATTGTGAGTTTGTATGTTTGTCACTGTACAAATGGAAGTCCTATATTTATGTAATGTTTGCATGCTGAGTTAGACCGTGAATTCTCAAACCAATAAATTGCTGAAAATTCACACATTGCAAATTCAATACAAGCATTACTGCAAAACCGATATACCTTTCTCCAAAATAAAGAGATAGATTCACACAAATTTTACAGATAAAAACACCTCTTTATTACTGAATGTCCAAATGCAAAAGAAACAAAGTACTTGTACTGTTTTGAAATCTGTTGAACATCAAACATAAAATGAACAAATAAAGCCAAGATGTAACATTTTGGATCTTAATTCTACTTCTTACCAGTTAACGTGTGACGAATATATATATCATATCCTGCAATATCAATGAATATTATTACTTTTGTAAAAACCACAGAAACAATTCTTTAAGAAACAAAATACAGTATAAAATGTGATTTATCTTTTCACAAAATAAAGTCACAAAAGTAAGCACAAATAAAAACATCTCCTTACTCAATGTCCGAATGCAACAATTTTCAGAGCAAACAAAGAATGTGTATATGTATACATACATATGCTTTTTGTACTGTTTTGTAATCTGTTCAACATCAAACATAAAACGAACAAATAAAGCCAAGATGTAACATTTTGGATCTTAATTCTACTTCTCACCAGTTAAAGTGTGATGAATATATCATATTCTGCAATATCAATGAATATTCTGTAAACACCACATGAAACAATTCTTTAAGAAACAAAATACAGTATAAAATGTGATTTATCTTTTCACAAATCAAAGTCACAAAAGCTCAGATAAAAACATCTCCTTACTCAATGTCCGAATGCAACAATAGGTAATTTATGTTTATCTCGAATGGACAAAATAAACAAAGCTATTGATCGTCGCACATCAAAAGGTGTTGCATCATCAGTTTGTAAAACAGGTGCGTCTTCTTCTCCTGTTTCAGGGGGTTGTGGATCTAATTGTTCTAATTCATTTACAGTATTTGGCACCTGTACATGTATGTTTTCCCCTACTGCAGCAAACTCCTCCGCATGATGCCAATTAAGATGCATGACATATGATAAACTTTATATGACCTCTCACAACCTTTGATCCAACACACGAGGAAGAAATCTGCTTTGTGGCTATGAATATACTACGAATGTGGTAAACAAGTTTACGTAAGCGAAAACCCTGCAAACGACATGGTGGGCAGTTGTACATCATACATCGCCATTATTACCTGAAACAAGATGAAACATATTGGAAAAAATATATACGAAGAGTACATAGCTGCACAGGGATTGTAAATTTGTGGACATAGACATAGCCCCCGTCCCCCCACCCTTTTCAGCAAAAGTCCGGTGTGCAAAGCCTTTTTCAGATTTTCAGATTCTATATCTAATTGGTAGCCTTAACTTGTTTTAGAAAAAGTCTGAATAAAATTCAGGGGACCCCCTTACTACTAACTGATTCAAAATTAAGAAAAATCAAATCTACTTACATTTACTCTGGGGCTCATTGGCCGCTAAAAACGTGACGATCGGGTACGTACGAACGATCACGAACGCGTACGAATATTCATCAGCGAAATATTTACACGCATGCAAAGAGTAAGATAGCTCCTAAGATGAGTACAGCTTCGAAGGGACTGAGGTTTTATTTTTTTTACTCATCCAACGAATAAAGAGTCTGTGACATATTAGTCAGCAAAAAGCCACTTTACACACTTGTGAATATTTTTACTCACTCGGTCACTAAAGACGGAGAATACTCATCCAATATTAACTTACATGAACTTTAATGAGTAAAAAGACTCATCGAGAAAATAATCTGGTCACATACCCGTTTTAAATATCATGTGTGCAAAATTTCACTAAGAGAAAGATGACCAAATGTGTAAAATAATGCATTTATTAGATATATTCTCTCGACTGAATGAGTGAACTACGATTTTTACTCACCATACTTTGTTCGTTTTTTTTGTGTGAGGGCCCTGTTAAAATTGACAACAAGAACAAGAACAAACCATCAACATAAACAACTACAACAACAATGTATATACATAGTCAAGGTAGAAATGTCTCACAACAACAACAATATCAACAGAGATACAGATGTCAATGTAGGATTATCTTGTAGAGGTGTTGTGGTCGAGTGGATACGTCGCCAGACTGTCGATCACAAGGTCCGCGGTTCGAGTCCCGCCGCCGCGCTAATGTTCTTTGGCAAGACATTGATCTACATTTGCCACACTCCACCCAGGTGAAGTAAATGGGTACCTGGTAGGAATTGATTCCTTGAAATGCTAGAGCGCCGTATGGCAGCCGTGCTAAAGCCAGGGTAATAATCGGGAGCGCCAGGAGGGTCAAATCTGACTGACATGAGCGCTATACAAGAACCCACTATTATTATTATTATTATTATTATAACAAATGGATAAAGAGCTCCATAGAACAAAAATGCATTTGTATACTGTATAAAATCCAATCTTGAGAGTTTTAGCACATGTTTGATTGCATTTTGTAAGATACTTCTCATCTTTTCTATGTTTTGAAATGATGTAGAACCCAATTATTATTAAACTGAGTGTATTAGCCATTTCATTGCTGGAATCATGTTAAATGCAAGGGAGGAGAAACAGCTCATCTACCATTCTCTGTTCCAATTTTAGACCTCGAGATCAGCCCCTAGTCACAGTGGTAGACTTCCTGTCAAAGATGTCAACATTCCAGGATGCTGGTTCTACAAACTACCTCACAAGGTAGGAAACAGATTCATTTTCAAAAGCTTTTAATGCCATCGCCTCTATTATCTGTCTGTGGTATCAACAAGGTTATCTTGAAATATATATGACTTTAGGAGGGGTATTTGACATGTTTTGAATATTTTAAAATAACAATAAAAAAAAAAAACAATGGCTGACTTTACATTTACTTTCCGGTAGCTAATCACAATAAATGGCAACTGCATGTAACAATTGTCAGATGTGTATTCACTGAGCTGTGTGTTATAAGATACAGAAATGTCAAGCTAATTACACTTGCATCATTGAAAAAAAAAAAAACTGCCCCAGTTTACTGTGGCATATCTGAACAATTGTTACCAATGCTTTTAATACAATGTAGGATGGAGCTGATTCTAATGTTGGTAATCCCCTTGCCAAGGACTTCTTGAATAAGGTTGAAGACGGAACCCTTGGATCTGGCGGCGGGGCTCAGGCCAACCGGATCCTGGAGATTAATAAGTTTATCTCTTTCTGGAGGAATGCTCAGAAGAGAATCAGGTACCAGAAATGTCACAACATGCTTTCTTTCTACGTTCTGACACCCCTATCTTTGTATAACACCAGCTACACATGTGTATGCACAAACAATGCCCAAGTCTCTGACTCGTAAGGCTCAGTAAGACATCCTCTGTATGTTCACGATGCTAATCAACAGGCTCTCTTTGTGACATTTGAAAAATGATACATTTTTACATAAATGATCAGATTCTTGTAGTGTTAGCGTGCATCCTTGTGAAATTCACACAGAGTTTAGAGGATTCTAAAAACAAATCACCTTCAAAATTTCAATGAGGATGGTTAAATGCTTTATAAGATATTGCTAATCAAAAACTTTTTGAATTTGTTTGGAGACACCACCGATAGCACGAATTGACGTTTGCTGTGAGATTTTGAACTTCCAAAAGGATAAGAAGTTGACGTGTTCTTGCTGAAATTTACTTGCACTGTACACAAAAATGTGTGTTTATGACTATGCAAACATGTGGCATAAAGTTTAGCTGAAACACTTTAGCTATTTCTTTTCAAAGCATTTGAAAATAGCACTCCATTTCTACACAAACTTCTTCACAAACATAACAAGATTAAAAAACTCTCACAGATTATTTTTCACATTCCCCGGAACTCAACCTTCTCTTTATGAATTTGTTTTATTTTAAATTATTGGGGTTAGTCATCTGACCCTGACTGGACAAAAGTAACCGCTTCTTGAGGATACTAATCTTCTCCCCAGATACATTGAAATTAAAAAGAATAATTCCCTCTGTTTACTGTTTGTAGTTCTCAGATGGTTGTACACCTTGAGGGAGGTGATCTACCATTGTCAGTCAGACGGAATCCTGATTATGATGAAGATGGTTTCTATGGAGCCATCATACCAAGGGTCATCACTGCAGGAACGGTCACAAGGAGAGCTGTAGAACCAACATGGCTGACTGCTAGTAATGCCAGAGTAAGTTCAATATTTATGCAGAGAATTTCAGATCTTCATGTGGTGTAAAAATTACCTTGTCCATCATCAGGAGTGGTATTTGGACATTGCATAGAACAAATTATATTTTGCTGAGTTGTGTAAATGCTACTAAGAATTCTTTTTGAGCCTTTCAGAAGCAAGTTACTCTCAGCTTATATATATTTGAGCCTACTTTTAGACTATCATCATTCAGTTTATTATCTAAGTTGATCTTTACTGAAAGAAATTCATATTTTTATCTTTTGTTTTTATTGTGCAAATGACCTGATTACTTTCTTGTCAAGAATTATCCTATCACTAAGTAGAATTTAAGTAGACTAATGGAGTGGTTGTCTTACTCTAATCTACTCTCATACTAGACTGATCGAGTAGGGAGTGAGCTGAAGTCCATGATCCAATGCCCTCCTGGATATCATTTCGTTGGAGCAGACGTGGATTCTCAAGAACTCTGGATTGCAGCACTCGTTGGAGATAAAAACTTTGCAGGTTTCCATGGTAATAAGTGACATCCTTAATATCAAAATATTTTTTCATTTTTGTTCTTAATTCTTTGGTGATAAAGACCTACCAGGTATTAATTTTTTCCTTCAACTTTATAGATATTCAGTAGATTTGAGGGGATCAAATAAATATTTTAAAATATATTGGAGAAAGTATATATTTGATCAACCTTTACATGTGCTTTTTTGTATCAGTCCATTGTTTCGGTCCCTTTCTTTCATCTTTTCATCCAATATTTGAAAAATTTTGCAGCCTCAAGCAGGACAAAGTTGATTGGAAGTGCCAGCAATATTTGGGTTCTAGTGTCTTTCTCTGAATAATAATGCAGAATATATCTTCAAAGCATGTTGTCTCTCTGTTTCTACACAGGTTGTACAGCATTCAGTTGGATGATGTTACAAGGCAAAAAGAATGAAGGAACAGATATGCATAGCATGACTGCATCCACTGTAGGCATCAGCAGAGACGATGCTAAGGTAAGGCTGTGTTCATATTAGAATAGTATGATGTTACAAGGCAAAAAGAATGAAGGAACAGATATGCATAGCATGACAGCATCCACTGTAGGCATCAGTAGAGACCATGCTAGGGTAAGGCTGTGTTCATATTAGAATATAATGATGTTACAAGGAAAGGATAAAGGATAATGAAGGAACAGATCTATTAAGTGTATGATAGGTTGCAAAGCTTTAACCCTATATAACTGCATAACCGGGGGGGGGGGGGGGGGGGGGGGGGGGGGGCCTATGATCTTGGCTATTTATGGACCGATTTTGTCCAAACTTGGCGTGTTTGTGTCTTATCATGTACTGATCAAGAATGCTTAGTAAAATTTATGATATATATTGTTAATTTTAATTTATGTCTAATTAATGATGCAAATATGCAAAAAAAATTCCAACAAATTCTCATTTTGTCCAGTTTTCCCCCTATTTATGGAGAAAATGCAAATACATTTGGCATGTTTGTAGCTTGACATATAATTTAAAAGATAGGGTAGTCAAATTAATGACATGTATTGAGATTCCATACTTATAATTGTAATTAATTATGAAAATATGCTAATTTTTCTTGAAATTATAATTTCTTATGTATTTCTTTGTTTTTAAATCTTTTTTTTTTCATTGTTTTGTTATCTAGAATAGTTCATGATGGCCAAAAGGGATGTTATCTGAAGAAAAACAGAAAATAACATTCTTCTAACACTTCTTGTAAAACCCATACATTGTACACACAAGATCATTGGAAACCAGTTTTGGAGCCGTTTTTGTGTTGCATTGGTCACGAATATGTGCTACATCTCCGATACCATACCCCACGATTTTCGCAAATAGGGTCTTAAAATGTGCGGGAGATGTCAAAGAAAAAAACTCATAAAATTTCAGCACCAGATTTTATTGCGCTAAAAAGTTATCGCAAAAAATGTAAAAGGGGGGGGGTTTTAGGCGCCCCCCCCCCCCCCCGGGTTATAGAGGGTTAAGAGATCCCTATACAAGTGATTCAAGTAGAAAGTTTGAAATTAAAAGGAAGGAATTTACTACACTGCATCCCATTACAGAGAATGGTCTGTATATTTCAGACTAAAAATTCTACTGCTATCAGTGTCTTGTATGTGCAACAGTCTTGATGTATAAATAAGCTATTTAACATCTTCCATTGTTGTATGTTGCACAGGTGATCAACTACGGTCGTATCTATGGAGCAGGAGAGAAGTTTGCCATGAGGCTCTTAATCCAATTCAATCACAGACTCACTCAGGATGAGGCTCGTCAGAAAGCAAGAGATATCTACATAGCAACGAAAGGGAGACGATTGTGAGTTCAATCCTGCATTCCTTATTGGATGTTATATAGACGATTACATTTCCATTATCTTTGGGCATTGAAAAAATTCTAACAAAATTAATGAATTAGGGTTAAATTGTTTGTGAATGAAGTGTCAAGCTATTCTTTAAGCTTGTTCACTACTGAATTCTCTCATTCCGATAGTTGTAATACAGGAGCACCCTGTTTATGTAGGCAATTTGATACATCAAGAAGTAGGATTTATTTAAGACAATGGAATCATTTATGAATCTTTCTCATTTATCCCTCTCCTTCCTCCTCACCAAACATGTAGTATCCGTCACATAAATGTGATTAGAACTCTAAAAAAAAAGAATATTATTTTACATTTCTTTTTCTGGATTGGAATATTTTGCTATGTCACATATGTAATTTTAACTAGTTTTCCTATATCTCTATAGATAGTCTCAATATTGCACATTTTTGGCATTTGTACCGGAGTGTTGGCTCAGTCAGTAGAGCGTCCGCCACACAACCGGGAGGTCGTGGGTTCGAACCCCGGCCGCGTCATACCAAAAGACGTTAAAAGATGGGAGTTGTTGCTACCTTGTTTGGCGTTCAACAATATGGGATAGATCAACGTCGATCTGGCGCTGCTCAGTGGCTGCCGGGCTCACGATCAATTGGGCAAAAAGAATTTCCGTTTCGGTTTAATAAAATTTGGAGTGGACTATTAGGCTATTATTATTATTATTATTATTATGGTATAAGCACCTAATATCAATTGTTATCAATAGATCATTCATAGTAGATAAGTGCATGGTCAGAGCAATCTAGTATCTGTTTAATAATGAAATAGTATGGTTAAATGAAAGTTCTTCTGTCTGTTTTTCTGTCTGTTGTCATTAAACAAAATAATTGTATTCTTTAAGCATCTTTTCCCTTCTGATTATTGATAAGACGTTATATATTGATGTCTCTGGTGCAGGTATCGCCTTTCAGCTACTGGTCAGAGCTTAGCTGAGCAGCTTGACTTGGATGCAGAGGAGAGTGATGGTTGGGTCACATTGGAAGAACTCAAGATATTGTCCAAGAAAGCACAAATCAAAGAGTGAGTGAAAAAGTACTATCCCCATTTCTTTAGTTAGGGTCAGATGTTTTTGCCACAGCACTCTTAGACTCTATTTGGGCTCTCCCCTCTCTCAGTACTGTTGAGTTATATTTCTTATTGTTATTTACAGTGTTGTGTTTGTAAAAAATCTAGGTCTGTTCCAAAATATAGGTGTTTGGATATGTTGTATATCTATCTGGGTCATTCCACCATTGTTTATGTTATCACATCATCATCATCATCATTGTCGTTGTCGTCGTTTGGTATCATTCTGTTTTTCTCATGCTTTATTGACATTTCATTTTCCTTCCGGTCTTTAGCATCTGCTTGGATGAGGCCAGATATAGTCTTCTATTGTCTCCTTCCATCTGTTATGCAGTCATTATTTTAAAATTGTATTTCTCCTTTGCTCCTACTTTGATCATATTCAGGCCTATCTATACCAGTCCACAAAATATCGAGATAACAGATGGCAGAAAATGGGAAGGTGGAAGGTAAGTGGAGATATTGTCTGCTCAGAGCCAAAAGAACATTGACTCTTTTGATTTAACACAGCCTTAGGAACCTCAGTGAAATGTAGTGGCACAAAAAGACGCATCCTGAATGCAAAATTGTTAAAAATCATACTTTTATCACAGAAAGGTATAATCACATTGTAAGGATATGGAGCTGGTAAATATATATACCATCTTGATGAGGCTTAATGTTAGCCCAACTTCATTCAGTTACCTAATAACTGGCTCTCCCCTGGTGATTTTAAAAATCAAATCATACATGATTTCTAATGACAAGAGAATGGTTGATGGAAACATACTTCACCAACATAATTTGCTCTGCATATTGGTAACTTGGGGACCATGTGTCTTTGTCATCATTATGGTACTGAACCATCAGTTCATCTTAACCTAGTGAAATATTAATCCAAGTATGGACAGGTTTTTAACTTTACTGATCCCAGTATACTTGCATGCTTATTTCGACATTCATTTATATCCATGATAAAAATACAATTGACATGTCAAATAAGGTAATGCTTTCAAGTCTGGACTGGATTCCCTCTTTCTTGAGCACTCTTTATTATACACTGGATCTGTTTCTGTCCTATTTAGTGAGTCGGCTATGTTTAATGGGCTGGAAGATATAGCGCAGTCTGAGAATCCCAGGACACCAGTCCTACAGTGTAGTATCAGCAGAGCTCTTCAACCTGATACAGTCAATAATGAGGTATTTACAAGACAATTACTCTACACTTTGAATCCTGTACTGATCAAATTCCTTATGTCAACCCTGTGCAAAATAGGATACCTGTTACCTGAACCCCTAACCCTAACTGCAGTTGCAGCCCTAACCCTCTATCGTTTGAAGAATTAAAACATGGAGCATTTGTTTTCACTCCGAAAGTTTTTGAGAGCTGTCAGATTTTTTTAAAGTGAGCTCAAGGGATCATAGATTACTTGTGCACTCATGTCAAAAGAATATGACTGCTTTTTCCACTACCCAAGTGCACCATTGCACTGTGTTTTCTCTTAACTCGGAATAACTAGGTTTCCAATACTCAAACCTCTTAGCTGTACCCCACTGTTTAAGGAACATGTGGTGTTTAGGAGTCTGCATTTATATTATTCTAAAGGCATTTCTCTCTCCACCTTCCTAATGACATACAATGATACAGTGTTGGAGGTTGCTTCGAAATACACCTGATCTTAAAGAAACTTGAACTTCAAAACTTGAACCTGACAGATAAATGGAGTAATGCCTTTTTACACTAAGTACAGTTAACTCAGCACAACCTGAAGGTCGCACAAGTCAAATTTGGAAAGTGGAACTATTTTGTTGTGTTCCCAACATATTGGACTTATGCGGAGTAAACTGTATATGGCATATTGTATGAGGGACATGTATACCATTTTCTTTGTTATGATCTCTTGGCAGTTTCTAACGAGTCGAGTAAACTGGGTTGTTCAGAGTTCTGCAGTAGACTATCTCCATCTGATGCTGGTATGCATGCGTTGGCTGTTTGAGATGTACAACATTGATGGACGATTCTGTATCAGCATCCACGATGAAGTGCGTTATCTAGTCAAGAGTGAGGATAGATATCGGGCCGCTCTAGCTCTTCAGATCACCAACCTCCTAACTAGAGCTGTCTTTGCATATAACATGGGAATGAATGATCTTCCACAGGTAAATTATCTCATTCATTATTCAGTCAAACTTTAATCTTTATGTTTGTTAAGATAGATTTTTCATCATACATATGTCAATATGTTTCATATGTACTTGTATCTGCCTAATTTTACTGACAGTACAAATGCACCTGCAGTTATCCATATGTAACTTTCTCAAGTGCAGAGAGGTAAAACCCTAATAGTATCACTTTGGCTCGTATTTTATTTATTCAGTTCAAATTTATAATAAGCCTAAAGTTGTGATTTACAAAGGGAAAATATAGATCTCAGTCTGAAGTTTTTGTTGAGTTGGACTTCAGACCAAACATGAAGCAAGTGTCGTGCTAACAATTTAGTGGAATACTGTAGACTTTTGACTTTGATACTGTACATAGTGATGATGAGGGCTCATACAAAACAGTGTGGTTCAATGGATAAGCCACATGAATATCGACCATATAGTAGAGGATTTGAATCCCTGCTACAGCAGTTGTATCCTTTGGCAGGGCATGAAGACTATCAACACAGGTAAAATAAACAGGTAAAGAAAACAAATGCTTGAATGCTATAGCACCTGATGGAAGCCCTGCTTAAGCCAGGGTAGTAATGATTTTCAGTGCCAGATTTGTATCCTAGGGGGGGGGGGGGGATTATTATATACATGTACATCCAACTATGTTATTATCACTGAAACATATTACACAATTACATTTCCTGTGAAATTTCTCTTTTAAAGAGATTCGGTAGCTTTGTCTCAGATCCTTAAACAAAATCCTTGATTTAGCTCATGCTGCAATCATAATTATAAACCTTTAGGTCATTTAGGAATCCCACGACTATTACAAGCCGATCGCTGTTCTGATTATCAAGATATTTATGATTGAAAATGGAAATTTCATTTTGCGTTTTCCTAATGGTTTTCATAACACTACAGTCTATTGGGGAAAATGAGTATGGTAAAACCGGTCATTCAAAGATTTTTACTTTTTTGAGGCATTTCATGATATTTTGAAGCGCAATTTTTTTTAGGGCTTCAGTATTACACCATATCACAGGCACTGATAACACGTAGGGCCACGCATCTTAGATTTAACATTGTTAAACAGTGCCTTTAACTATTACTCTGTTGCTTTGATCTTGTTACAGTCTGTAGCCTTCTTCAGTGCTGTGGACATTGATACTGTGCTAAGAAAGGAAGTCACCATGGATTGTCAAACACCATCTAACCCTCATGGGCTGCATAGGGGATATGGTATACCAAAAGGTAAGATGACAGAGACACAGACAGAGAGAGAAAGAGGGAGAGAAAGAGAGAGAGAAAGACGGAGAGAGAGAGAGAGAGAGAGAGTGTGTGTGAGTGGAAAAGAAGGATATGAAAGAATGTCTTCATTATTTTCATTTGTTGAAAATAAATACACCAGTTTACAGTTGTGTGCGCCATTTCAAACAAGGCCAATGACCTAGAGGTCATGTATTTATGCGTAAATTAAGATTGCGCCCATGCAAATTATATCACTGCCTACGCGCTGGGTTGTGCGTGCAAATCATCATTTGCATGGGCGCAATCTTAATTTACGCATAAATACCACTGGTCAAAGGTTATTGGCCCCGCTTCCGGGGCCAATGACCCGAGGTCAACTGTCTGCGCATGCGCACTGAAACAACTGTAAACTGGTGTATTGAAGAAATGTCCCTGTAGTGAGAAGTGGCAATTGTGATATTTTCTGCACAGACGAAAAACAGAGTATAGAAACAATCAAAATCACAGGATCATAAGTTGCAAAATTAAGACTGATCTGAATACTTAAAAAAAAACCCTAAAAATTCTCTAATCTGTTTCTTTTATTTTGTTATGCTTTTATACTCAGCAATTTGTAAATAAATATTAGATATTCTGTAAGCCACTGACAGATTTTTTTCTGCAATCTGGCTCAACACTTATTCCACTGGATTTCTTCTTTCTATGTGTTTGACAGGAGAGGCTTTGGACATCTATGAGATCCTGAAGCTGACCAAGAATGGATCTCTGACAAGAACATCATCACCCAGCAGCAAGAATCAAGAATCACATAGTAATGGTAGACTACATGCAGCAGTGAAGGCAGTAGGCTAATTCTGATTGAGTAAAAAAAAATTCACAAAAATATAACGGACCTCTTGAAGTGCCAATATATTGTCAACTACATGCAAATGTTTGAAATTGATGTTTTAAAGGAAAATCAAACCTTGATAGCAAACTACTCGAGAAACAAGCAGAGAAGCATACTGGTGAAGGTTTGAATGAATTCAGACAAAAATTAGAAAGTTAGGAATTTTTGAAAGTTGCAAGCACTCTAGGTATGGGCTCTTCAAATTGGCTGAATCGTTAGTTTCTCTGTGATGTAGTGGCGGAAAAGTTTCCCATTTCTTTCAACATACAGTTACATGTTTACTCAGATTTTAACTTTTCATTAAATGTATGATCTAGGATGTTCTTTCCTCTTTAGAGGACCTGTAATGATATACTCTCTACAATATAGTTTGAGTAGTGCTTCAAGGGTGAAAGCACTTGGGAGAAAAGCGGAAATTAGTGATATTTTTGTTCACGATAAACAAGAGAGTTATCTGTCACTACGTCACAATCAACTGACAAAATTGCCAATTTGAGATTTGCATATCTGGATCTCAACATTCATAACTCTCTTATTTCAGACTTTTGCCTTTTAGCTTCTCTGATTTGTAGGTTATTTAAAACTCATGTATCGTAATGACTAGACCCTGAAGCATCTCACAAATGTCTTTGTGTGGTATCAACATGTAGACATCTCTGTACAGATGTTGGTGTCATGCATTAAGTTTGTTTCTACATACATGTATCAAGACTCTTTAAATGTCTCAAACTCCATACAACAATTGAATGAAACTTGGAATGTTACTCTGAAGGCAATGTCAGATAAAGGATGAAAATGGACCATGTACTTATCCTTATCCTGATAAAAAAAATAAGCATACACTTTGCTAAAACATGTTGTATAAGTATTTCAAAGTTATGCCAAAGTGCAAAATTTACACGGTCTGATCAAACTCTGAGTTTGGATACCTTGGTCACTCATTTGGGAAGGATGAGTAGTGTTAGTAGCTATTTTTTAAATTTTAACAGACAGATACAAATGAACTGCAATGAAGTATAGGCTCAAAGTTAAGGTACTGTAAGTGCAACCCAACAGCAATCTTAGATCATACTAATTTAGGACAATTTTGTCTCTCATCCCTGCCCCTACATCACAAACCACAGACCATAACACTTGGGAATACTCGCTCCCCTCTGACGAAGACATGTGCATGGGGAGTCACCATCGCCATCCATAGCCATACTGGTAGATCAAGTTGTAGTACATGTATGTGGTCTCTTGCTAATCATACATTTGTCTGGAGAACTAGAATACTTTCAACTTTGTCCTCCTCTGTTTAAGAGTTCCTGCTTTGTTTTTCTTCAGGATCAGTGTTTGGGTGGATTGCCTTAATCCACCAAACCTCCTTCTTGTTCCACCTTTTCAGAAGTGGAAGTACTTTCATGCCGCATTTTGTGCAACATCTCCTTTATGTCATTCTATCTAATTGTAACAAATCATTATTTAATTTTCCTGTCTTATCGATTTCATTGCCCGAAGTGACATCACTTCAGCTTCCACAAGCATGTCTCACATTCCTTGGGCTTAGTGGATGGTGTTTTCTTTGTCGGATCCCTTATGTATAGACCGTTTGAATTTACGTGGAACTTTTTAGAGTTTTTTGGAGTTGCAGAATTTCCACAGGTAGTGGGTAAAATATTGGACAAAACTGTCATAGGCTTAGCCTAGGCTTTAGCATCGTATTCATAGACCCTGACAGGTAAAAAACTGGTCGGTCGACAGAGTGGGTATCAAACTTTGATACCCATTTTGATTAAAATTATGTTCTACAAGTACAACATTCAATAGGAACTTCCCAGTCAATATTGAGGAGACGTTCTGGATGTTCCTCATGAGGTGCATCCCCATCATTCACGTTACCCTCATCCAGTCTTGGCGGAGGTTCGTGTCTGAATGGCATTGGCATTCTTACTGAACCTGCCTGTGGCTGTTGCGCTGGTGCTTCATCTCTCCCAACTCCTAAACAGCGTTACATCTGTGGATAGTATACACAGATGAAATGCTGTTTAAAAAATAGATAGGTTGTAACAATATGAACTGAGCAGCCAGATGTACAGTTCCTGTAGTAAACCACTTGTTTAAAGTTCAAACAGGTGATACAAGTTTGACCCCCCAAAAGCTTTAAACAGTGTTTTCTCTGTGTAACTCTAACATAAATGACATTTGAAATCTAGTGCCACGATCTCTTCGTCTGATAGACCCTCCAATCCATGTGAGTAGACGATGTGCAGCCATCGCTCACAATTGCAGCACCCTACCCAATCCTCTGTGTCGTTGTCATATGTTCCTCTGCACTCTGGACAGGTGTTGACATCAATCATAGCAGTAGGATCCTCTTCTGTGTTCTTGGTCTTCTCCTTCCTCTTACCACCTTCTTTCACATTATACTTCATCTCTTGCTCTTCCTTTCCTCTTGATCCTTTGCTTCCTGCTTCTCCCTTAGGTATTTCAGGTACGCATCACTACTAATACACTTGGGCTGATCTTCCCCCTTTTGCCTCGCTGTCTTTGCCTTTGTTATCTGAGGATAGCGATGATGCTTCTCAAGATAAAAAAGACCTCCAGAAGACGAGGATGGCGAAGCGGCATCACCCCAGCGACCGGAGGCGGGGACGTTGATCTTAACATCAGAGACCTCCTCGTCCCTGTATACAGAAGCAGGAGCCAGCTTCTCATCCTAGCGGCTCGGAAACCCGCTTGGACTAGCTCCTTCCTCTCAAATGCTTGCAAATGTGTAATTTGTCACATACTTTCCCAGGTGGTCCTGGCGATAGAGACGCTCAGCCCTAGCCCATGCTGACTTCAATGGCTTGAAGAAAAACACTTCGCATGGTTGGATGATGTGGCTTGCATGGGCTCGGAGGGATACAGCTCGACTCCTCCTCCCTCTATACAGAAGCAGGAGCCAGCTTCTCCTTCGCATAGTTTTGTGTAAAGGGAAAGATGCCGGCGGCCCGGAAACCCGACTGGACCAGCTCCTTCCTCTGGAAACTTCTTCCCAAGGTCTCCTGAAGGTGCTCGCAAATGTGTACTTCGTCACAAACTTTCCCAGGTGGTCTTGGCGATAAAGATGCTCAACCCTAGCCTATGCTGACTTCAATGGCTTGAAGAAATTACATCGCAGGGTTGGATGATGTGGCTTGCATGGTCTGGGAGGGGGTACAGCTCTACGCCGGATTCGTTACACAGCTTGCCAACCTGGTAGCTCACATGGCTACTGTGCCCGTCCACCAGCAGCAGTACAGGCTTTGGGATGTTCTGCTGCTCAACCCATGGCAAGAAACTATTGGCGACATACTAATAGAATACTTTGCTGTTTATCCACCCAGTCTCACTGCAACCTAAGAAAGCACCAGTCAGGCCACCTTCCAGTGGGTTCTCCTTAAATCTCTGGCCGGCAAGAACAATAGTAGGTGGAAGAACGTCACCAGATGCAGCTATCGTCGCTAACACAGTTACTTGCGACTTTTTGCTTGAGCCTACTGCACTAACAGTGCGATTCCCCTTAGTTGTGATGATGCGGCACACCTTCCCGATGAGAGGCTATCCTGTCTCGTCGCAATTGAATATGCGGCGAGGTGGAGAAAGTTCGATGAGCACCCCATTACTTTCGAGATAGACACGCAGCTCCTCGTAGAATTTGCCACTTAGAGGGGAATGATCATGAATATGTTAACAACATTCACAAATCTGTTAAAGGCTCCTTACCAACCACTTTGTAAAAAGTGCATGATTTTTTTATACTCCTTCGCCTTTATGTTGCTGCTTATGCCATCCGCTCTGTAGAATGGACGATAGCAAGTACAAATTTTTCCCAGGCGTGGAAAATTGTAAGTTGACTTTCGTCTGCTTTGGAAATTTACCCACTCTCTTTCTCTTTTGGCACATTTTCTTTTTTTCCTGTTGTTTCCTGGTTGTGCTGAGCTCAGTAAAACTGGTTGATGTTAATTAAACTTGCAGCCCACTCATCAATGCGCTCCTCCAGCTGCCTCAGATTATCCATGGTGAATATTGTTGGCCAATCATTGGCAATGGATCACACACACACACAAAAATGATTTCTTTATAAATTGTAGCCCACTCATCCACTGGACCCTCCAGGTGCCTCGGGTCATTCATTGTGAGTACTGTTGGCTAATCATTGCCAATGGATCACACACACACACAAACGATTTCTTTGTAAATTGTAGCCCACTCATCCACTGGACCCTCCAGGTGCCTCAGGTCATTCATTGTGAATATTGTTGGCCAATCATTGCCAATGGATCACACACACACACACAAATGATTTCTTTATAATTGCGGCCCACTCATCCACTAGATCCTCCAGGTGCCTCAGGTCATGCATCGTGATTGTAGTTTAAGATGCCTGTATGGAAGGGGAACAAATATACTCCATAAAAGGCAAGTTTACAATACATTATCAAAAATACATATTCAGAGCTTATACCATAAAGACACAGAGGTGGTAAAACTCCAATATTAAATCAACATTAACAAAAATGCTAATGAGTGTCCACCTTGACTATTAAATCCAACTAACATCTAAATAATTGCTTGTTGATTTATTGAATAGGGTGATACTCTTCAATACTAGGGACCTCCATTTTATGTCCTATCTGAGAGACAGATAATGCATGGACAGTAATAACTAATAACATACATACATACTACATCACCACTACTATCAGTCTCCATCAGTTCTTACCTTCAGAAAGGCCTTAAAAACACATCTTATTTGCAATTTGTAGTTGTAAGACTGTGGTTTTTTTTGTTTTTGTTTTTTTCTAATTATATGTATTTATGTAATTTTTATTTTCATTCACTGTAAGCGCTTTGGGCCTTATGGGAAAAGCGCGGTATAAGTAATAATAATTTTTAAAAAAAAATAAAAAAAATAAAAAAATAATACTACAGCTATTACTACTATTTCCACTGCAGTGGCTTAGGTTCGTGCTGGTAGGCTCGCGGCATTTCATCTCTGCCATCGCCAAGTTCTTCTCCTTCTCCTTCAAGCTCCTCCTTCCTCCCCATTATCATCATCATCACTGTCAACAATGACCTTATTTAAGCTCAATTTCCTCGTCTACAGTGATGTATAGGGTACACCACAAATCAAAGGAGAAAAAAAAAAGAAGAAAAAATGCAAACTACACAATGCCAGCAAGG